ATTCAGGGTACAGCTTGGCAGCTGCTGGCTGGTATTTGGGCATCTGTACTGCTTTAGAAAGACAAGGAACTCTTAAGGCATTGAACACCTTTTGATTTAATATCTGAAGTGTACTCAGCTAATGAACACCTCAGGTTCCATTGGGCTTTAAACCAGAAAAACTTCATTTTTACTGCTTTATAGAAAAAAAAGGAGCAAAATGCATAATAAGGGGGAGATTTAAAAACCATTAGCATAGCAAACAAGTGTCATAGCACATTATGGCCACTAGATGGCGCCAGGGAGCATAGGAAATTCCAACGCTCCTCGGCTCCACCTAGTGGCCATAATGTGCAGTGACTCTCTTTTGCATAGCTGTTCCCTGTGCGAACGGTTTTAAAAATCGCCCCCCTTAATGTGCATTTCGTTCTCTATATTGTTTGGCAGCTGCAGAACGGCAGTTGACGGGGACGGTGCAGAGAAAACGAATGCGTTCTGACCGCGGCGGAGCCTGTTCGTTACAGAGTGTGCAACGCACCTGAAATCTTTCTGTTCGCCTCTAGGTTTCCCCAGGACCCTGACTCAGGCGGAGGCGCTGGATAAGATCTGCGAGCTGGACTTGGTGATCACCTTGAATATCCCTTTCGAGACGCTGAAAGATCGACTGAACACGCGGTGGGTCCACCTGCCCAGCGGACGAGTCTACAACATGGAGTTCAATCCTCCAACTGTGACCGTAAGGACCTAAAGTAACACTTTGTCTTCTTGTGGTGAACATGGTCAGTAGGGGATTTCTGGAGGAGAGTTCAAAACTAACCTTATAAAATGGTTTGTTTTTTTTACTGAATCGGCATCAATACTAGTATCGGTATCGGTGTCCCTTTTTAATAGACCAAAAGGGGACCAAATGGGAGAAGTTCTTTGTCAGGGTCTCCAGACACTTTCATATTTTCATGTCTTGTCTGCAGTGCCATCTGCAGGTCAGATCTGGTATTGCACCACAAACTCTTTGTACCAGTTGACATGCTATGGGGATTGTAAAATGTATCTACATCCGTCAGTCCTGTTTGTCTGTCCTTGTAAACTTTGCATTGACCCCGGAGCCCCGAACACAGGGAGGAAACATAACTGGATTATTTTATCTGGCTCAGGTTCAACCTAAATAATTCCAGTTGATGACATTCGAATTCCAACCACTAATCCACCTCACTGCTGGTTAAGCTGTGCTTGTATTTCAGCCCCACAATGGTTGTACTGTAACTGAGCAATATTTATATAGTCACTGAAGCAGTGTGAAACGACGTGCGAGTTCGTCTCGGCGTCTGTACAGAAAGTGACGTAGGATTTCATTGGCCCGTTCACTTATGAATGGCTTCACATACAGTATATATTACAGTGTATATAAAGCCATAATCTACTTATCAGTATGTTTGGCATCATGACTCCCTGTATACAGATAACTTAAAGCTGAACTCAGACCCATCTGTGTATGCACAGATAAAATACACAGCGCCGGGGAGGCCAGACAAGATCATTGACCAAATATGGTCGTGACCATATTTGGTCAATGACATCACCGAGGATCTCCGGTGCTGAGTTTACATTACCACAGCACCAGGCATCTGTCGTTTACAATGGATCTGCTTTACCTGCCGAGATACTTTTCTATCCATTCAGAGACGGAAAATCTTAAGGGACCGTAATATACAGGGGTACGGGTACTCCTAGAATGAGATCCTAATAGGTTGGACTTGATGGACTAATGTCTTTATTCAACCTCAAATACTATGTAACTATGTAACTATGACATACCTTATTTTGGAGCCAGTGACGCCATCACTTGGTCCCTGTGTTTCTCTATAAAGGGCAGGCAGATCATGGCTGGTGGGAGGGGCTGGCAGGGGGCTGTGATGTTTTCAGAAAGCTATGCACAGCACCCTGACAGCCCCTCCCACCAGCCATGATCTCAGTACTCCTCTCAAGAGCCCTCAGCCCTGATGGAAGCAGTGGGCTGATCCTTTGGAGGAGTTATGCATAAATCAAAATGCCTTGATGGGTGGATGCCAGCCTGGAGGAGTGGGCTTCCTAGGCAGGTTGTATTTGCATGCAGACCACCCTAGGTCGTGATGCTGAGCCTCCATGATTGCAGGAACTGAAATCCAATGAATAAAAGGGCTGGACCAGGGACTGTCAGGCTGGGAAGAAAAGAGCTAAATGAGGCTGTAAGAAGCTCACAATGGGCATTAGAAGCTGAGTAAGCAATTTCAGACTAGGAGAGGAGCCGGTACAACTGTGCAAGACTGAAGGGAAGGACGGAGGTCAGATATAAGACTGAAGGGGAGGACGGAGGTCTGATAGAAGACTGAAGGGATGGACGGAGGTCAGATAGAAGACTGAAGGGAAGGACGGAGGTCAGATAGAAGACTGAAGGGAAGGACGGAGGTCAGATATAAGACTGAAGGGAAGGACGGAGGTCTGATAGAAGACTGAAGGGAAGGACGGAGGTCAGATAGAAGACTGAAGGGAAGGACGGAGGTCAGATATAAGACTGAAGGGAAGGACGGCGGTCAGATATAATACTGAAGGGAATGACGGATGTCACATACAAGACTGAAGGGGAGGCCGGAGGTCAGATATAATACTGAAGGGAAGGACGGATGTCAGATACAAGACTGAAGGGGAGGCCGGAGGTCAGATAGAAGACTGAAGGGAAGGCCGGAGGTCAGATACAAGACTGGAGGGAAGGACGGAGGTCAGATAGAAGACTGAAGGGGAGGACGGAGGTCAGATATAATACTGCAGCTGGTCACATTAGAAAAAAAGATCAGAAGTCCAATCTGGTTTCCCGGAGCAGCGGTCACGTTGTGTAGAGTCCTGCTGTTGTTTTTCTTCCATAGAGACTGAAGATCAGATGAATCTTAGCACAGCCGCGGAGAGGACAGATAACACGCTCACGGATAGGCAGACCTTTATCTGTGTGATGGAGAGGATTCATCTTCTAGCAGGTGATTGAAGATGGAACAATGTGATGCTGCGACAAAGCATCCCCTGGAACAAAGTGCGCATTCTCCGATACTTTGTTCCTGAATCCCTGACGTAGAAAGTCTGACGGATCTCAGCGTTGGATGTATCAGAGCGATGGGATTCTTATACACATTGTCATCATAATGATTCTCCCCCCATTGTAAGAATTGGCAACATGCACAGACTTTGCAATGAACAAATACAACAAAAGCAATTGAAATAGGTCAACACAACGAATGTTTCAAGTGGTCCCCCCAAATTCAACTGAAAATGTAACTTTTAAGGACTTGTGCAGCCTCAGAATGATTCAGCCCCGTCATGGCGGCATCTATAGTACTTAGTAGAGCTCCTTTTGCTGTTATGACCTGCTGCAAACGAGATGCACAGCCAGGCACCAGCTTCTGGCAGCGTTCCTGAGGAATCTTAGCCCGTTCCTCATAAGCAATGGCCTCCAGTTCACTAATATTCTTGGGTTTGCGTGCTGCAACCTCCTTCTTCAAATCCAACCGGAGATTTTCGATGGGGTCCAAGTCAGGTGACTGTGATGGCCACTGTAGAATTTTCAAGGACTTCTTCTGCAGCCAGGCCTTGGTGGAATTTGAGGTACGCTTGGGGTCATTGCCCTGTTTGGAAGGTCCAATGACGCCCAAGCTTCATCTTCCTCACACACGGCATGATGTTTTCTCCTCGGATTTCCTCATACTTGATCGAATCCATCGTGGATTCTGCATGCTGCAGGTTTCCAGTGCCAGAGGATGCAAAGCAGCCCCAGAGCATCACCGAGCCTACACCATGCTTCACTGTAGGCAGACTGGTCTTTTCAGGGTATGCTTCATTCTTCTTCCTGCAGACATACCGCTGAGCCATAACGCTGAAAAGTTCTAGTTTTGTTCCACGGAACAGAATCCCAAAACCTCTGCGACTTACTTATTTTATTATGAGCATATTGCACACTCTGAGCCTCTCACAATGCGCATTAGAAGCGGTAGCAAGTCAGATAGAGCTCCGCCTCAATTCCTGGCTGGAGGACATTCAGCATCATCTAGTGCTTTTCTCCCCAGCCTGACAGTCATTGGCCCGCCCCTTTCATTCATTGGATTTCAGTACTTTCAATCATGCGAGCGTTACCTAGGGAGGTCAGTATGCAAATAAAACTTGCCTAGGCATTACCGTGCCCCCAGATTGACATCCCACATTAAGGCATTTTGATATTTGCATAACTCTTCCCAAGAGCCAGCCCACTGCTTGCATCAGAGCTGAGGGTTCTTGAGTGAAAAACTGGGGCAGGGTGCTGTGATGTTTTTAGGAAGCTATGTACAGCGCCATGCCGGCCCCTCCCACCAGTTATGATCAGCCTGCATTGCATAGAAAAGCGCTGGGACCCACAGAGTCTAAAATAATAAGGAATGTGATGAAAATGTTATTAGCATGTTGATGATGGGGGAAGGCGAAACCAGGGAAGGCAAAATATAGGCAGATTAAAGACCTTTACATTTAAAAATCAAATTATACCAATGTACCCCTCCATGTATTATGATGAGTAATAATAACATAGGCATGTCAGGTGTAAAATGCTGTGACTGTGAATTACTTACACTTGCAGAGCGTTCCCTTCCTGCTTTGAAAGTGCAAAATGACTTCAGTTTGCCAAAGCAATACACCCTGGGATTGCCTTGTCACCAGCAGAGCATTGCTGGGAAATCTCATCTGTAATCTCACGAGGTATTTTCCTCCGCTGAGATCATGTGCATGGTCACATGTCTAGTCACATGTGCCAGAAATCTAGGAAGTAAAAGGGAAACTAGTAATCTGCCCTTAGTAAACATGGCGACTGCCAGAAGACTGGAGAAGGAAAGAGAAATAAGGAATGCAAAGAATACAAAGCCGGCAATTATCTAGAAGTATGTGTGTGTAGATTGTCATCACTAAACATTTCTAAAGATGTGTTTGTTGTTAGTTTAGAGATATGGGTAAAGATCCGCTTTAAGCTTCAGCTTTAAGTTCAAATCACAAAAACTGTATAACTGATGTCTGCAGATAATGCTCTTGTGCCCGCTCTTACAGATCCTTGGCATGCAAGCGGGGGAGGACCTGAGACTTGTGTCCTAGAAGTCTGATCATTTCATTTTTTTGATATTTAGGGCATTGATGATGTCACCAGAGAGCCATTAGTCCATCAAGAAGCAGATAAACCCGAAGCAGTCGTTACCAGGCTGCGCCAATACAAAGACGTTGCCAAACCGGTTATGGAAAGATATAAGTGCGTTACTATTATTATTAAATTGGCTTTCATTTTGAAATACTGTTTACTTATATTTTATATATTTTATAGTTTATTTTTAGAATTTATTGATGTGTTTTATATTATAGTATTTTATATTTTATTTATATTTTTAGAATTTATTGATGAGTTGATGTTTGCTATGCAAGGGAAGATATACTTCCGTTTGGCAATGAGTTTACCATTTACAAATACTAGACACCCAAAAAAGGACGACACGGCCAAAGACTAAAAAGGCGTTAGATGTATTGACGGAGATAACGGAGATTGGCAGCCGTATCTTTGTTGCAGTGATGGAAATTACTGGGGGTGTGAGAAAGATCTTGGGGATCAATGAGGTCTATAGATTTATGACAACATGGCTTTGGGAAAGACGCTATAGACTTAGTGAATGATTGATGGTATATGTGAGGCCCAGTTCACACCAGGGCGTCACGGGAATGAAAGTTCCCGCACGTTTGCCAGACTTTGTTTCAAGCGTTTGGCGCACATCCCCACTGATCCCTACTGGGTCCCTGGATGTGCGCCAAACGGGGAAAAGTGGTACATGTTGCAAATTCAGGCAACATGCAGTCTGCGAACGTACAGGGAAGAACCGCCCTACCTAGTAATGGCACCATTTGTGTGCATGTATCGTGAATGGCCATTGAAGCGTGCACGTTTGGCACACATTCACGTTACGCCCTGTTGTGAATGGGGCCTGAGAGAGTTCCAGTGCTAGAGATAGTTGAGAGAGAAGAATGATTTGTTAGCGCACTCCTAGGGCGGTGTGTTGTGTTATGGCCGGTGTGCGGCTCCTAAGGTTGTTAGACCGGGGTGTTCTGACTGTATGAAGTAGAACAGAAAAGGAAACAAGGAAAAGAGCGCAACTGACTGGCACAGGGTGTATGGGCGGGACATGATCAGGGACAAAAAATGAATCGAGGTATTGGCACTTACATGTGATGGAAAGAGAGGACACAAGGGTGGTGTATTCTTCTAATGGGGTCGTGGGGTCTTGGCGTTTGGGTTCGAGGATGTCACAGGGGTCTGCGGGCTGTCGCAGTCCTTCTGGGGACTTCTTTGTTTCCTTCCCACATCGGTTTCCTACCGGGAGTCTGCACAAGACGACAGCACACCGACCCCTGTGACACCCTCCAACCCAAGCGGCGAGACCCCACGACCCAATCAGAAGTATACACCACCCTTGTGCCCTCTCTTTCCATCACACGTAAGTGCCAATACCTCGATTCATTTTTGTCCCCGATCATGTCTAATCCATACACCCTGTGCCAGTCAGTTGCGCTCCTTTCCTTTTTTCCTTTCCAGTGCTAGAGAGCAGCACAAGAGAAGTCATGAGTGACAAGTGTTGACTAATCAGAAAGCCCAAAGCTGGCCATACACGTACCGAATTCCATCCATTTCCTGATGGCAATTCCTTCGTTTCCATTCCTTTGGCGGTCTTGACAGCAACAACCAGTTCGACAAAAGTCGACTTTTGCTGTAGGAGCCATGTGGAAAGTTTTTGGCTGACCCATGACTGCAGCCAATCAGGTACTGTACAGGTACTCTGACAGCCGTGGGCACCGGTTGTCAGAATACAAAACCCAGCAAGGAAGATTCCCCCATTCACAGTGTTTAGCGTCATTGGGGGGATCCAGCATCAAAAAAAAAAATGCTTGAATCCCTCATCCACATTAACACAGCGTCAGTGCGGGAATCTCGCTCGCTGGCTCTTGTATTCTGACAGCCAGTGATAAATCGTAATGTGTATGGCCAGCTTACAGCGAGAAGATGAGGAAAACCTGGAATACGACATAAAAGGTGTTCGATGACTGAGCGCGTTATAGGGTAGAAGTAAGATTTGTCTTGTTTCCCAGGGACAATGAGGAGACAGAATTCTGCT